TACACAAAAAATTAAAAAAATAATAATAAAATAAAAAATTTCAAAACTTTACAGAATGCCTTAGAATACCTGTGGCCACCCACTTTGAGTGAAATTTAAATTATTTTAGGTGCCCAAAAAAATTAAAAGAATCAAAAATTTCAAAACTTCACAGAATGACTTATAATACTTGTGGTCACCCACTTTTAGTGAAATTTAAATTTTTTTAGGTGCCCAAAAAAATTAAAAAATTTCATAACTTTACAGAATGGCTTAGAATACCTGTGGCCACCCACTTTGAGTGAAATTTAAATTTTTGTAGGTGCCCAAAAAAGTTAAAAAATAAAAAAAATAAAAAATTTCAAAACTTCACAAAATGGCTTACAATACCTGTGGGCCTCCCACTTTGAGTGAAATTTAACTTTTTTTAGGTGCCCAAAAAAAAATAAAAAAAATTCAAAAATTTCAAAACTTCACAGAATGGCTTAGAATACTTGTGGCCACCCATTTTTAGGTAGAAAATTTTTTTTAGGTGCCCAAAAAAAAATTAAATAAATCCAAAATTTCAAAACTTTACATAATGGCTTCTAATACCTGTGGCCACCCAGTTTGAGTAAAATTTAAATTTTTTTAAGTGCAAAAAAATTCAACAAATCAAAACAAAGTTCTGTTCTAGAAATCAATTTCGGGAGTAGAATTAGTCATGTTTTACCAAACAGATTTCTCCTTTAGAAGTCAATTTCTGGCAAGAATGCGAAAAATCAATTTCTGGCAACAATTTGATTTCTGAAGCAGAATGGTTACCATTCGCACCCTTAGTTGTTTAATGCCAATCGTATGGTTAATTAAGTTAATCGTGTGGCTGATTTGCTTAATTGTGGCTGATTGGTTAACTATGGCCTGATCGTGTGGGTTGATTGATGATCGTGTGACCGAGAACGAAGATCATGGCTGAAATTGATGTTTCATGGTTGATCTTGTACTTGATGAATTATCGTGTGGTTTGAAAGTGGATCGTGTAGTTAATTATGGCTATTGTCGGCTTAGCATGGCATATCGTGCTCATATATTGATGTTTGATATCAAAATGAGTGCGATTCATAGTATATTTGTTTGTAGGAAATTGCACGTCATAAACACTCGGCATTGGCTAATTATGAGGAAACATTTTCTGCTTCTGAAACAAAATGATCAGCTTCGTCATGTACGTCATTATGTGTCCGTAATACGTGTTCATATTTTTTTACATATTTGTCTAACATTCCTACTTGTCAGTATAAACGTGGAGGTCACATGCATAGAAGACCAGCCCCTTCCTCGTCCTCGTCCTCGTCCCCATCCCTTTCCTCTTCCCCTGTCCTTTCATCTAACCCTCAACCACTATATGCTGATGGACAATATGGACACGTTGGCCCTTCCTCCAACACTCAAGAACATGTTAGGGGATTTGGCCACATGCGAAGTGAATCTCCTCCAGTTCCATCTCCTTTAGCTCCATCTCCTTCCGTTTCACCTTATTATTCAACACAACAATCGAATAATGAGGGAAACACAGGTGAAGAAGATAACCGATTCATGATATGCCCATTTGGAGATTCGTAAGTACTTCATTTTTTTTAAGTATATGTAATATTTATGGTTTTAGATATGGATGTCAATTGAATTGTCGATGTTGCACAATATCCGTATGTTTGCAGATTCACGGATGCTACGTTTGTTGTAAGGGAACTGAATAAAATAGTCAAAAACTATTGGATGGGGCAGTATATTAATTATAGAAGCGATCCACAAGAAGTGAAAAATTTGTGGTGGAATGAGTTCAAGGTAAGTTTTAGATATTCTATTTTCTCACCAACTAAGTTTGGTGTAGTATATTGATGGTCAATAATGATGTAACGGGACCAGAACAACTCTTTAGTTTTAGGTACTAAAGGGACCAGATATTTTCCCCGAGATGAACTTTACAAAATCTATCGCCGAATTGTCTGGTGCATGGTAATGGATATTTGACCCTCATAATAACTTTCAGTTTTTTTTGTATTGATTGCAGCGGAAGTTCAGGTAGGATGAAGAGGAAGAGAATGAAGTGAGAAGAATTTTTCAGAAGAAAGTCGGTGATCACATACGAAATGTGATGAATAGAGCGAAGATCAAGCAAGTGAAGCCGGCTTTCATTACAGCTGACAATTGGACGGAAATTAACAGAATTTGGGAAACTAGAAAGAGTCAGAAAATCAGTGAGCAGAATAAAAAGAATCGATCTTCTAGTTCTAGTGAAGGGTCTGCCACATATACTGGGGGCTCTATCAACATTGGGGAGCATCGAAAACGAATGGTAAGTCTGTTAAATAAGTCATAAGTTAATTTAATTCAATTACTCATGTTTACATTTTGTAGGCACATGAATTGAGGACGGAACTGACATTTGCAGCTACATTTGAACGCACATTTCAAAAAAAAGATAAGACATGGACTGGCGATCGAGCAAAAGCTATTAAGGTATGTAAAGTTATATTTTGGACTTTATGGAAACTAGAATGAAAACCGTGAATGCTTTTAATATTTATGGTAGTTATATATATGAAGTTATTTTATTTTCATCTATATTGTTAATATAGGAAAAATATGATGAACTTTTAATGAGCAATGCTAGTGGTGGTGATGGTGTTGCTGCGTCTGAGCCATCAGTTGACAGTACGGCATTATGGGTGGAGGCAACGGGTGGGATGAAAAAAGGAAAAATATTTGGGATGGGATCCTTGTCAAGGGTATACATGACGAATCATGCTGCAACTTCATCATCCAATGCGGCTGTTCGAAGGAGGACACGACATGACGAGCAATTGACCCAAGAATTGAACCAACTGAAAAATATACTTGTAGAGAAGGACGAGGAAATAAATGACTTGAAACAACAAATGCAAATCGTTATGCAACACCTCAACATCAATCGCAATGAGGTTCCTCCTATACCTCCCGCCAATCCAATAGATGATGGGCACAATGATGAGCGACACAATGATGCTGAGATTGCTGATGATGATGATGATTTTCTCGGTCCTTTCTAGTTAAAATTCTCAAAATCGGGAGTAAGCTTGCTTCACAATCTTTTGTGCCATAAGTGCAGTTTGCCCAATATGTTCCTGCCCTACAATTACTTTCTGTGCACAACTCTCTTACAACTAGGTTCTTTGCTTGCGAGAAACTGAAAATTTAGAGATCCCAAGATGACATGCTTGTTACAAAAAATCATGATATTTGAACATTGTAGAAATACATGCCTTAATTGACTTTGAGTCCTATTTTCTTGGGAATTGGTGTTGGTAATTCGCCTCTCTAAGTCATTAAACTGTTGAATGCTGTTTGGAGAAGGATCTAATTTTTCGTAGGTGACAGAAATACGGTTTACAAGGGTGAAAAAACTACAATGGATGTCAAAGTTGACTCATATTCATATATATGTAAGAACAATGATGTTCGTCCTGAAACGTTTTTTTGTTAACCCTCTTACTTGTTTTTTTATACCTAGTTCCATAGCCATGCATAAACGCTTCTTTTATATTCTGGACTGATTGAATATCTTTATTTATGTATCCACATTTCATCAGGTGTCGACAAAAGTGTGCTTCTGGTGTCCTGTCGAGTACCAAAGCTACCCAATCTTGTGTCTGGTTTGTCGATTTTTCGCTTTTTAAGCAGAATCTATGGTTGTCCCGCCTCCTATGAATGTTTCGAATGTATTATAAGATTGGATATCAAATAGCATCATGTCAGACTTTGCAACTTTGCATATATCATTATTTTTTGCGGACTGGCATCTTTCCTTCAGTTATATTTTTCAATTATATGGTATTGTGTCTGGTTTGTTCGTTTTCTGTTTCTGAAGCGGAATCTATGGTTGTCTCGTGTCCTTTGATTGTTTTGAATGTATTACATGATGTTCATTAATGCGTAGCTATTGCTATGGACAAGATTTGATGGCCCAAATGGTGTAAAATTTGCGACGAATATTTAGAGACGAATTTTGCGACCATTACAGTTCGTGGCTAATTTGCGACGAATAAGTAGCGACGAATCAAGTTCGTAGCTAATTTGCGACGAATAAAGTTCATGACTAATTTTGCGACGAATTTTGTGATAAATTTTACGACGAATAAAGTTCGTGACTAATTTGCGACGAATTATTTGCGATGAATTTTACGACGAATTATTTGCGACAAATTTTGCGACGGATAAAGTTCGTGGCTAATTTGCGACGAATTTTGCAACGAAATTTTTGACGAATTTTCCGACGAATAAAGTTCGTGGCTAATTTGCAACGAATTTTGCGACGGATAGTGTTCGTGGCTAATTTGCGATGAATTTTGCGACGGATAGTGTTTGTGGCTATTTTGCGACGAATTATTTGCGACGAATTTTTTTCCGTCGCAAATTTTCTGTCGCAAAATTTTGCGACGCTCTATTAGCGACGGAATTTTTTCCGTCGCTAATTTCGTCGCAAATTCGATTTGCGACGGATTTTGCCAAATTTTTCGTCGCAAAATTCGACGCTAATCCCTTGTTTTTTTGTAGTGCGAGCTTAAGAAAGTCTACACGGAATCGTCAATGTTACGAACGAATTGAACTATCTTCTCAAGCCTACCCACATCGAATAGATAATCTTTTTACACGCACAGGCACCCGATCGGTAACTGCCAAGACTAATAATAACCATTCTCTCTTCTAGAACGATGTTCATTCACCTGCTCGTCATTTTCTGGCTAAGGCTTATCCCATTGACTAGATAAGAAAAAAGGCAAGGAGAAACCCATTGTCCAGCGAATGAGACATTGACTCGCGCGCTGGTGCACCTTCCTTGGAACGTGGGGTACTCCGGTCTGTCCGTGTGAGAAATGAATCACGAAGCTGCTGTTCGGAATCGATGGCTTCAAGAATGGGGGCGTCGGTTCAGCCCAGCAAAGTAGTTTGCAGAGTTGGCTGGCGAACTGAAATTAGCTTGACAAGCATCCAGATCCAACAGATGATCAGGAAGATGAATAGCTTTCTCAAGAAAAGTAGGAAGGTGTCACACAAAAGGGCTTTTATTAAAAAACAACATGCAAAGTCCAGGCTTCACGGTACCAAGTACAAACGAAGAGAAAGAGACAAGACCAGCTCGACCGGGGTGCACTCATAATTTACTACGCTTGACAGGTCCCATTTCCTTTGCCTTGGCCCTCAGCAAATGTTTCTGTATCTTTCCCGTAGCAGTTTTTGGCAATGGCCCGAACACGACAGACTTTGGAACCCAATAAGCCGGCATTTTCTCCCGGCAAAACTTCATTATATCCTCTGCCAGTCGCCGCTCATCGGATTTATCCACTCCTGGCTTGAGTGTCACAAAAGCACAAGGAGACTCTCCCCATCGGTCGTCAGGCCTTGCAACCACAGAGACCTCTAAAATCGCCGGATGCGTGTACAGAGTATTCTCGATCTCTACGCTACTTATGTTTTCGCCTCCAGAGATGATGATGTCCTTTGACCTGTCCTTGATTTCAATATATCCGTCAGGATGTTTCACACCAAGATCTCCAGAATGGAACCATCCCCCTGCAAAAGACTCCTTGTTGGCTTTTGGGTTCTTTAAGTAGCCTTTCATGACGGCGTTGCCCCGCATCACTATCTCTCCTATGGTTTTACCGTCAGCAGGAACGGGTTTCATGTCTTGAGTGCTCACGACATCAAGACCTTCTAGAGCTGTGTAACGAACGCCTTGGCGTGCATTGAGGCGGGCTTGCTGTTCTGGAGGCAGCGAATCCCACTCGGGCTTCCATGCACAGATTGTAGAAGGACCATAAGTTTCAGACAGCCCATATGTGTGCGCAACACGGAAGCCTTTCTGGGACATTGCAAAGAGAACAGAAGGTGGTGGGGCGGCACCAGCTGTCATTACATGAACGGTGTGAGGGAGAGGGAGTATGGTTTCTTCAGGTGCAGCATTGACTATGGTGTTCAAAACCACAGGCGCAGCGCAGAAGTGAGTCACGCCATATTTAGCGATTGCTGAATACACTGCCTTAGCTGTTACCTGAGGACAAGAAAAGACACGACAGAAGGTTTCTCTGTTAAGCAACATAGTAGTTTTGATATCAAACGAAGCCCATTTACTCACACATTAGCCCATTCAGTAACTTGGTTAAAGCGGCATTGACCCATACAAGATCAAATATTCACACTTTTTGAGCTGATCTATCGAGTTTCAGAAAGCAACTATTCCATCCATAACTAAGATTTCAAAATCGTGACAGGGAATAAGCTTGTGGATAAAGGACAGACAAACAAACATGTTGACGAGAGGGGGTGATTACCCCCATTGGTTTTGTGAAACATATTAGTGTGTTTCCATTCGTCATAGATAGTTTCACATAATTCCCCCACGAAACTTCTAGAAAATACTTGGTTTAGCTACTGTCCAACAACTTGTTGCATCGCGTCTTTGAGAGAACTTGACAGACAGTTACATATTTACAACAAAATGGATGCCATGAACAAACAAAACCCACTTCAATATTATACTTGTCTGTCAACTTATTAAGCAAGAATTTTTGTATAAATAATCTGAACAAATGAGTTAGACTTAATTATATAGTTCATCATGAAATTTGCCTCATTAAGAAAACTAGGCTCTAGATCAGTCCTTATAAATTTACCAGGTTTACCTTCTATCTGCTCAATTTAGTAAATGGAGTATGGCCGTAGCATAAATAAACTGTAATAAGAACCACAACCAAGCAGGGTTTTACAAAACCAGAGTACTTGAACAAATGGTCCTTATACTAAACATAAATGAAACAATTGCTTCTGTTATGCTTTAAACAATGTTATTAGGCAGCAAATTGTCTACCAAATTTGCGGAAAAACAGCATTTTCTGAACCTTAAAGATTACCTGTCTACTCGATCAATATTGTGCAGTTCTTACCTTACCAAAAAAAAAAAAAAAAAGATTACCTGTCTAAGGCATATGCTGGTTCCACAAAGAGCTGCCAGTGTCCATGTGAAACACCAACCATTACAATGAAACATAGGCAAAGTCCACAAGTAAATGGCCCCTTCATTCATCCCCCAGACAAGAGGGTTACTTACAGACATGAGATATGCTCCTCGATGGCTTAATACGACTCCCTTGGGACTGGCAGTTGTACCAGAAGTATAACCGAGAGTGATACTCTGCCACTCATCTTCCGGTGGTTTCCAAGCAAACTCTGGATCTCCGCTTTCCAAAAACTTCTCATATTCAATTGCCCCTTTTCCTAAAGCGTGCCTAAGTGTTCTTGGGTCACAGCTTTCGTCAGCTATAACAATCAGAAGCGGAGGCTTATAATTTTTCTTACTCTTCTCTGCTAATATTTTCAGAGCTTCCTCAGCCAACGGGAAGAACTCTTGGTCCACCATTACAACTTCAGAAGATGAATGGCCAAGAAGAAAAGCAACTGTCGGAGCATTTAGACGTATATTGACACAATTTACTACAGCTCCGGACATGGGAACTCCAAAATGAGCTTCACATAGGGCAGGCACATTCGGCGCAATCACTGCAACCTGCACAGCGAAACCCAGACAGCCACATAATGACCAGCAGCATAGAAGAGGACACAAAGAACCACGATGCAAGCCCGGAACTACAATGGAAAGCATCACAAGCAAAGCGAATTTTGAACAACATGAAAACTATCAATTGATGAAAACAAAACTTGATCGCACCCAAACAATGTCCCACTTCATCACAAAGAAACGATAAGTTAACATTCACAGCAAAATCGATGTCGTAAAAACTTCACACATGCACGTTGGCAGTCCGAACAATCTATTTCTTTTCAAGTGAGAACCGTTACTTCAGTTCTATCTATCTAGCTTGATACAGTTCCGATTTCACGGTTCAACAATCTCCGCTCGCAAATATAAAATTATCAGCTTCCGTTTCCCAGTGCTCAACTTCCATCTCAGCTCACACCGTGACGTCTATCAAGAAAAAAGCCAAACAGTCCCTCCCCACGGATCATACCACCATCACCAAAGTCAACCAATCATCACTAAAGAAATGAGCATCCGATTCTCCATCAAGCACCCGTATCAAACCAAGAGAGCTTCACACCAGCACTCGAATCAGGGGAATCAAAAGACTCGGATCACACGAACAACGCCAACACAGGAATTATCAGACGATTCCTCATCGAATTAAAAACGGAATAAACAAAGCAAAAGCGTCCTTGTACCTTAACCCAAAAAGGAAAGGACACGTATCTAGATTTCCAACATCATAGTTGCTCACAACATTCCGCATATCTAGAATACTACCCATCACCATCGCCAGAGCACACGTGGAAATGGAAAAAACAGAGCACGAGTACCGCGGAGAAAGAGATTCCGTACCGTGCAACCGGCGCCGATGGAGCGGCTGGAGAGAGCGGAGGCCAGCCGGCGGCACCGCTGGTACGTCTGGAGCCAGGTGAAGGCGACGGAGCCGTGGACCACCGACCGCCGGCCCGGGTGGACCAGGGCGGCCCGCTCGAGGAACCACAGCGGCGTCAGGGCGGTGTGGTTGGCCTCGTTCTTCGGCAGATCGTCTATGTCTCTCGCCATCGCTCCTCCCTCTCCTCCCTCCTCCCTCCTCTCTCTCTTCTTCTTCTTCTTCTTCTGGCGTGCGTGAGTGTGTGTGAAGCAGAGGCTGTGCTGGAACGCGAAGCAGTCGATGCGTCTTCCGCTGCATATTTATATGCAAAAATCCTCCGAGATAGGGACAGAACGAAGGGCCGCGACCGCAACTTGGGACACGATCTCCTTGTTTCTCGTTTTGTTTTTTTTAATGCGAGAGAGGGAAAATTTCATTTTGGTATCTAAAGTGGGGCCTTTTCTCAATTTGATACTCAAAGTGGACATACTCTCAAATTAGTACCTAAAGTGCCCATTCAGTCTCAATTTGGTACTTGAGTTCGCCAGCCAGTCAAATGCTCACCGGCTGGCAAGAAATTTACTGTTCTGGCTACCGGAACAGTATTTTTTTTACTTTTTTATTTTTTTTTCCTTTTTCTGTTTTTTTTCTTTTCCTTTTCCTTTTCTTTTTTTTTTTTCATTCTTCCCTCCGCTGGCTATAGCCGTGGCCGGCGGAGGTCGCCGGCGTCGGGCGAGGGCCGACCCTCACCAAATCCGGCGAGGGCGAGGGTTGCCCTCGCCGGCGTCGGGCGAGGGCGGCCCTCGCCTGGGCGAGCGAGGGCCGACCTTGGCGAGGGTTGAGGATGCAGCCGAAGAAGCGAGAGCAGTAGGCAAGAGAAGAGAGGGAGTAGGAGAGGCAAACAAAGTGGGAAGCCACGAACTGGTCTTGCTCGAGCCCCATGACGATGATCTGGGCGTGCAGCTGGTGGATGTGGGCGGAGTTCTTGCAGGACTTGAGGAGGATGACGATGGACGGCAGTTTGGCGGAGGTCGCCGGCATCGGTCCTCGCCGGCGTCAGGCGAGGGCTGCCCTGGCCTGGGTGGGCGAGGGCCGCCCTCGCCCGACGCCGGCGAGGGCCGACACCGGCGATATCTGCCGGCCACGGCTATGGGCGGCGGAGGGAAGAAGGAAAAAAAAAAGGAAAAGGAAAAGAAAAAAAAACAGAAAAAGGAAAAAAGAGTAAAAATAAAAAGTAAAACAAATACTTGTTCCTGTGGCCGAACAAGTAAATTTCTTCTTGGCCGGTGAGCATTTGACCGTGGCGAACTCAGTACCAAATTGAGATCGAATGGACACTTTGGGTACCAAATTGAGAAAAGGCCCCCACTTTGGGTACCAAAATGAAATTTTCCCTGCGAGAGATTACAAAACTCCACACGGGTTTCGCACTAATAATGCAAATAAATGATAAATGTACCGAAAGTCGTGAAACTCGTAATGTTGGTGATGTTAAGATATTTTACCTGATTTTGCATATTTCTCGAAATTATTATATATACATCTTTTGCATTATTATTTTTAGCCCCGTTAATTCCGTCCGACTTGGCGAACGGGCCCCTCGCCCTCTTTTGCCTTCATCTTTTAAAATAATGTTCAGATTAAAAATCGGATTTAGATCAAAATGACGTCGTTTCGGCCTTATGATTCATGTTTTAGCCATGTCGGCGCCACGTGGGATAGAGAAAATTGAAAAAGAAAAATGGCCACATCAGCATTAACCATTAGCCAAGTTGGACGGAGTTAACGAAGGACTTGATTGCACCAATTTGACAAATTATAAGACTTTATTATACGTTCGTGACAAATTTTAAGACTTTTCAATGCATTTACCCCTAAAATAAAAATACAGCTCATGTAATAACCTTTAGAACTTCAGGAATCCGAGGTCATCTATTCATGACCGCCGGTTACTACAAATAGTTCCGTGGCAATGCTATCCGTACGTGCCAAAGGTTTGAATTTACCTGAGTCGCCGAGCTTGGAGGGAGCTTTATTATTTTTCAGGTATCTAAGGCCTCATTTATTTCGCGAGTAATGAATGATTTGAAAAATATTTTTCTTAAAAAAAATCATTTGTATTGCTTGAAATAATTAATCAATGAAAAATGTTTCATTATCGATAACAATTTATATATAAAAATTTTTGCGGAGATAAAAGTTTTTTCATTCGCTCATTTTTATAAATGATACGAGCGATTATTTTAGAAAAATATTTTTTAAATTATTTATTTTTAGCGAAACGAACGAACCTAAATATCAAATATCATGCTCTTGAATTGAAAAATAGGAAAAAGGGAAAACGAGATTAATATAATGACGTGGCACAAATTCGGGTGATTCATTTTTAAAAGGGAGAAAAAGAAAAGAAGAGAGAGTACAAATAAGAGTTGGACAGCCGCAAGTAAGAGACGTGTTGAATGAACATACAATTTAGGGGCATGAAGTAGTGTATAGGGGTAATTTAGGAATTTTGTTCCTCCTCCAAAAATAACCTTAAAAAACGTAGACACAATACAATATGTCTTGTCATGCAAGTAGACAATTAATCTTTTGAATTGACATGCAAATTGCTGATCCATTACGTCCAAAAACATTTGGACTGGTGCATCCAATGGAAAAGAGTCCAAATGGTGTTAGGAAAAGCTAAAATTCACCATGAAAGCACGTGGGAATCATAAGGGACAAATGTATATCAATCGGGCACCGACGAGAAACGGACGCATTGTGAATTAGGAGCACTCAAAAGGAATCTTATCATTGACCCTGTCGAGTGCAAATAATTTCTTATCTAGATCACTCGCTCGAATTATAGCTCGCGTCTTATTTGAGTCGCTCGAAATGGATATACGAAATTATTTTTGTTGTACAGCGATGCTATTGCTTCGTAAAATCTTCTTAAAAGATTATGATATCTATAAGCAAGATCCAATGCTTTATTACCACGCCTTATGTATCATAGGATGGACAATAGCTTATGTAATTTTGTGGGTTTTTTATGGGATCACCGCCAATTGTTCAATAAGTTAAAACCGATAGATGAAGACGTGATTTGACATTTAAATGCCTTGAAACAATAAAGAAAATCACCGTCAATTTTTCGATAAGTTCAAGCTGATAGATCAACACGCTATTTAACACTTAAATGTCTTGGAACAATAATAAAAAAAAGTGCTTTACAATAACAATTTAGTTTTCTCGGTAGGTCTTATATACACCGTGTCGATCCTTTGATGCGATCGCTGTAAAAAGATTCTTGAAATGTCAGTGGATCTAATAAATTTTTTTTATCATGTATATTATTTTTTTCAGGTCACGTTGACAAGTGTGAGAGCTTAAGATCCGTTTGTTTTGCGAAAAATGAAAGATTTTTCCTAAAAATGATCTCCTCCTGTGTCTCAATAATTAGTCATTTGAAAATGTTTCAATAATTGACAACAACTCATGTCTAATTATTTTCGTGAACGATCAAAATATTTTTCGTCCAGTCATTTTTGTAAGTGATACAGGCGATCATTTTTTAGAAAATATTTTCTAAATCATTCATTTTCCGTGAAACAAACGGATGAGCATTAGTTTTGTAATGAACTTTTTAGGTACATGTGAGAGCTTTGGATTATGTTTGTTTTGCGAAAAATGAATGATTTCTCCTAAAAATAATCTCCTCAATGTTTTCCGTTATTGATAATAATTTATGTATAAATATTTTCATGGACAACCAAAATATTTTTCATCAGGTCATTTTTGTAAGTGACACGGAAATCATTTTCAGGAAAATGTTTTCTAAATTATTTATTTTTCACGAAACCAATAGACGGAGCATCGATTTTGTAATGAACTTTTTGAGGTACGTGTGTCTTTTGCCCGTGATGTTTTGTGTTTAATCATTTGTTACAAATCTGTGGGCTCGCTCCTTCCTTGAAGACAAATTAAACTAAATATTTTAAATTTCAAGTAGAGTAGGATTACAAATTTCTTTTCTCATCCAAGTGTCTTGTGGGGTCTCATCCTAAGGGGAAAAAGTTACAAAAATTGGGAATCCAAAATCAATTAGTCTTTCACAAAGTTTTTCCTTTGCCTCTGCTTTTTCATGTGCTGTGAACAGTGCCATGAGGTTCAAAAACCAGGTTCTTGAGCGATCCCGTGTTTTAGAAAAACGCAGTGTTCAATGGGTTCGAATGCATCTGGCGTCCCCGGTAATGGGTCGAACCGGACAGATCCCAACCTTGTTTCGGTATGTACATTTTGTCGAGCCAAAATTCGTTTAAAATTCATAAACCTAATGTAATGATGCTGATTCAGTTTTGAATCTTATTCTTTTCTAAATTTTTTGACGATTTACTAATGTAGTCTTTCGAGGTCAATTTTGGCCGGCAATCGCTAATGTGGATACTGAGCAAATTGTCAAAATATTTAAAACTAAATTGATCAAATTGAAAGGTTTAGGATTGAATGTCGTACAATAGGTTTAAAACTTTTCGGACAATTTTCCGAGAGAGGAAGAAACCTTGCCGAAGGCCACGACCACTTCAAATGTAGAGTCTTGAAAATTAGAGATTACCCAATTCTTCTGGCCGTAACTTATACGCTTTCCATCCATATTGCAACTATGGTATCTTCAAATAGAGATGAAATTCTGTTTGTTTCACTAAAAATGTGACGATTCTGGAAAATATTTTCCAAAAAGCCATCCAGGAAAATAGCACAATTTTACGGTATTTGGCTGAAATCTTAAAATGTCCCAGAAAATATTTTTCGCTATTTGGTTAGATTTTCCTCTATGCACTACTTTTAATAATTTTTTATTTTTTAAAATAGATTTTTCATTATTTTTTAATTTTCTTTTTTCTTGGCTTTTTTCTTTTTCTTCCCTTTTTCTCCTGTCGAAAAATATGTTTGGTGATAGAAAGTGAAAAGCTGAAAACATTTTCTCCACTTTTGAAGGTATTTTTACATTGTCAAAAAATAATTTTATTAACTAATTTATTTTTCGTGAATTGAATGTCAAAAAATTTCAAAAATATTCTTTTAAAAATTAACTTGCGTAAAACGAAAGGAGTTGAAAATAAAGATGAAGCATCTAGCACTTCAAATCCGTCATTGACATGATAGGCTTGTCGGAATTGCCAGCTGGAGAACTCAAACGGCTTGCGGCTGAATTGACTCGTGTGATAATGACCATGAACTATTC